GCAAAATGGCTTAAGGACAACAAAGTCAAGGTATTGGAGTGGCCATCACAAAGCCCTGACCTCAATCCTATAGAAAATATGTGGGCAGAACTGAAAAAGCGTGTGTGAGCAAGGAGGCCTATAAACCTGACTCAGTTACACCAGCTCTGTCAGGAGGAATGGGCCAAAATTCACCCAACTTATTGTGGGAAGCTTGTGGAAGGCTACCCGAAACGTTTGACCCAAGTGAAACTATTTAAAGGCAATGCTACCAAATACAAATTGTGACCCACTGGGAATGTGATGAAATAAATAAAATCTGAAATAAATCATTCTCTCTACTATTATTCTGACATTTCACATTCTTAAAATAAAGTGGTGATCCTAACTGACCTAAGACAGGGAATTTCTACTAAGATTAAATGTCAGGAATTGTGAAAAACTGAGTTTAAATGTATTTGGCTAAGGTGTATGTAAACTTCTGACTTCAACTGTATATAGCAAATGGAACCAGTCTCCAGTTGGGGGAAAGTCATTGTAAGTATAACCTTTCTGTCTACAATAACATAACCCTGCCCTTACTGTTGACAAATGGAACATTCCACCCTAACATGTCGTTGGGAATATGTTATAAAGGAAAGAGAAAGGGGGATACCTAGTCAGTTGTACAACTGAAATGTGTCTTCCAACTTAAGAATGTCAGTTTGTATGCTAAACCTACTTCCTCAGTAAATGGAACTATGTATGTGTGTGGGGAGAAAGCCTACTATTATCTGCGTACAAACTGGTCAGGATCATGCTATGCTGCCTATGTTGTTGCAAGGTCTCCTAGCCCTGGTTGAAGTCCTTGTGCTATCATTCTGCCTGTTCTCATGCCTGATGACCTTGGTGAGGAGATTGTGTGAAACAGCAGTATCTCCTCCCCACCAGATGATCATGACCACAGAATTAAACTTTTTTGACCTGACAGATCTCGCCACTGTTTCACCTTTTATTGGGGATTCAATTTGCTGTATTGGACATGATAGTGCCTACTGCCATCAAAATGACCCCGATACCTATGAACCTCCCTATTCCCCGGATTGTTAATATTAAATGACCTTTTAGGAGTTCCATTCAGACCACCCCTTTCTGTGTAAAATGCCAATTTCCCAGAAAACAGAAGGTTTTCAATTCTGTCTGACAACAGCTCAGATATGTAATGTATGGTGGTGCTTATGGTTTCCATGACATTAAAGGGGGAATTGTGGTGGCAGAATTTAGAGTGAGCTGTTGTAACTTCTCAAGGGATATGTTCTGTGTTGGACTGTGATGTTGTGCCTTTTATAGACTCCTGGTATGTCTGCACCCTAACACAAGGCCATTGTGTTCCGGAACTGTTGCTTGTATAAAATAACTACTGTGAGAACAATATGATTGTTTTGTCACCTCCCACTATATAAGGGACATGTAACCACTTACTCTTTGAGTTCTTCCCTGTGAAATCAGAGACAGATCTCCCTCGCAGCTGCTTGATTAAAGATTTTTCCATTATACAATTAAATATTCTCTGCCTTAATCTTTGGATCGAGTTTTCAACAACACTTCCTTCATACTGGACACAGAGACATAAAAATGGTATCCACACATTCATCTGATTCTGGGGAAGTAGATAAAGGACCTCATTGCCAAAATCCCAAAGTATCCCTTTAACTAAAGTGATGAAATATGAACATGTGTTTTTTCTATCAGATCCTGAACTCAAGCACTGACACTGCCAGCGAAGGAGAGATTGCCAAAATCCCGAAGCATCCCTTTAAATAAATTACATCTTAAACTTAACCAGGAAGCAATTTCATGGGACAAGATGAGATAGTAGTCTTGCATATTTTATTTGTACATATTTTATTTAACCTTTATTTAACTAGGCAAGTCAGTTAAGAACAAATTCTTATTTACAATGACGGCCTATCTACATAGAGTAGTCCGGCGTCATGGTGTTTTGTCTTTAGGATCCTCAAGGCCTCTGCTGTTTTGGTCATGTTAGGCCTTGGTTTACAGTCATTGTACTGGCTGTACCCCGCCAACGCCTTTTTCCTGATCACTGTCCGGCCATACCCATGTGTATGCACGTCTCTCTCCTAAAATAATGGAAATTAAAAGAGGACATTCTGACATTTTTTTATGATTATCCTATTTGTAGTTTGGTAGGATTTGAGCCAGCTCAATCAATATTACTATATTTACTGTATAGGAAAATCACTGACACATGTCAGGAGACTTACCTATTCTTACAGGTCTAAGTATTTTTTCTTGGCCATTCTGGAGGGCTGGTGCTATCTCTGCTCCTGGGAACAGCATCTTGGGTGTGCAGGTTTGATGCCGGTGCTGATTGTATCCAGAAGGTCAAACAGAAGTCCAGCCACGACTGCACTTCTCACCTGCCCCAGCCACACAGGTATAGTGGGCCCTTTTGAATTTGGCATAATTTACCCCCCTATCGATCGCAGAGTGCACCACGTTGTTTACATTATGACGTAAAAGTGAAATAAAGCCATTGGAGAAGCAGTTTCTGCCTATCGTCATACTGAACTGTCTTTGGTATGACCGTCAAAAGAGACAGGCAAACCGCAACCACTAGCGGCTGTTCAGGCTACATCTGCTCTGTACTGGGTCTTGGTTACGGAATGTAGGAAATAAATGGGACTTTGAAGGTCCAATCAAAAAGCCGGAATCTATTGCATTTGTGCGTTAGGCTGGAGTTGATTGGAATATTCAATCACATAATGTGCTAACGTTTTGTTTACAGTTGGATAGGCTACGGCTGATTGGACCTAGCTGAGGAATGCTCACCTCCGTTCTCTTTTTTTAATTTTTTTTTTAAGGAACTCAGTCCAGCTTTAAAAACGGACTCTTGTATGGGGGGGGGGCGGGATGTTCCCCAATGCTGGAAGGGGGGCCCGAGTGAAAACATTTGGGAACCCCTGGCTTAGGTCACTCATTTTGCCCATTCTAACGTTCAATCGAACAGTAACTGAATGCCTCGATGCCTGCTTTATATAGCAAGCCACAGCCATGTGACTCACTGTCTGTAGGAGCTAACCATTTTCGTGATAATAATAAATAAAACACTTTTGTTCCTGTTGCGTCATGCTGATGGCAAAGTCAGGATTTGGCATAAACAGCATGAGTCCATGGCCCCATTCTGTCTTGTGTCAATGGTACAGGCTGGTGGCGGTGGTGTACTGGTGAGGGGAATGTTTTTTCTGGCACACATTAGGTCCCTTGATACCAATTGAGCAACATTTCCATGCCCTGAAGAATTCAGGCTATTCTGGAGGCAAAGGGGTCCGACGTGGTCCTAGATGGGTGTACCTAAGAAACGTATATACCTGTATATACACTGAGTATACAAAACATTAAGAACACCTGCTCTTTCCATGACATAGACTGACCAGGTGAAAGCTATGAGCTATGATATTGATGTAACTTGTTAAATCCACTTCAATCAGTGTAGATGAAGGGGATGATACAGGTGAAATTATTTTTAAGCATTGAGACATGGATTGTGTATGTGTGCCATTCAGAGGGTGAATGGGCAAGACAAAAGATTTCAGTGCCTTTTAACAGGGTATGGTTGTAGTAGGTGCCAGGCGCACCGGTTTGTGTCAAGAACTGCAACGTTGCTGGGTTTTTCACCCTCAAGAGTTTCCTGTGTGTGTCAAGAATGGTCCACCACCCAAAGCACATCCAGCCGATTTGACACAACTGTGGGATGCATTGGAGTCAACATGGGCCAGCATTCCTATGGAACGCTTTCGATGCCTTGTAGAGTCCAGGTCTCGACAAATTGAGGCTGTTCTGAGGGCAAAAGGGGGTGCAACTCAATATTAGGAATGTGTTCTTAATGTTTGGTATACTCAGTGTATATCTTACATTTATAAACTGGGTGGTTCGAGCCCTGAATGCTGATTGGCTGACAGCCGTAGTATAGCAGACTGTGTACCACAGGTATGACAAAACATACATTTTTACTGCTCTTATTACATTGGTAACCAGTTTATAATAGCAATAAGGCACCTTGGGGGGTTGTGGTATATGGCCAATACACCACGGCTAAGGGCTGTGCCTAAGAACAGCCCTTAGCCATGGTATATTGGCCATATACCACACCCCCTCGTGCCTTATTGCTTAAATATCTTATATCCGCCTTGATAGAACGGAGTTGAGTGTTCCTCAGCTAGATCGGAGCAGGACATTTTCCCATTTGTTCCTGGTTCTGAATGTCCTAGCTACCCTGAAAGTTTGAAACTGTACACAGTGGTTGTAAATGAAGCTATATTTATATAACTCTCCTGTATTGAGGCAAACCATATGTTGTACAGTCTTGCTCTCTATTAAGTTGAAATGGCGCTTCAAGAATAAAAAAACAACTGTAAAGAAACAAAAATACATTTCCAACATCATAACCACTAACGCTACACCTCTTTTTCCACCAACTGCACACATTTGACTGCCTTCTGCAAATAATGCTCATCTCGAATAATAAACGTTCTATCCTGTATCCCATGTAGATCATGCTCTTCTGGATCCTGCTGAGTGCATTCTCTACCAGCGAGGGTGAGTTAATGTCACTATGACACCGAGTAGGCCTGCCACCACTCTGTACATTGTGTCTTGACTAGGACTAAAAAAGCACTTGTAACAGAGATGCTTCATCGAACTGATCCTAGATCTGAGGTTCGGGGCAACTCCTCCCCCAATTATCTCATCACCACCACTCTAAATTCACAGCGAAACACAGGTCGAACTAGTCTGTTTCCAACATGAATTAAAACTGTTTTTAGATACACTACCGGTCAAAAGTTTTAGAACACCTACTCATTCAAGGGTTTTTCTTTATTTTTACTATTATCTACATTGTAGAATAATAGTGAAGACATCAAAACTATGAAATAACACATATGGAATCATGTAGTAACCAAAAAAGTGTTAAACAAATCCAAATATATTTTAGATTTGAGATTCTTCAAATAGCCACCCTTTATATATTGCACTGTGTTTTATTAATGTCTTCTGTGAGTCATTTAGAATCAATATAGGCAAGATACTGTAAATACAAACACTGACATAGCCTTGCAAGAGAGAATAGAAACCTTCATCTAAAACCACTAATGCAACGTGTATCTTGGAGTAAAACAAACAAATTAAACCACTTGAATACTTGCCCGTTTTCTCTATTTAAAAAAATAAATAAACTATATTCTCCATGTATCAGATGTCAGATGCTATTACATGTAATAGACAAACAAACACACCTAATGGGATAAGAAATGAGAAACCACTTTCTTACGCGCATTTCAATCAAAAAATCCCAGAGGTTGCTTTATTTTCACTTGAGTAACATACACATACAGAGACCCCCAACATCACAACCATCATCCTCCTTATCCTTCCAACTATCCTCCAATCCCCTATTCCATCACTCATCTCCCTTCCTCCTCTCCACCGCCTTCACCCTTCCCTCCAGGATGCTCAGGCGGTCTTCCACGTGGACTGTCTTTTCTGATCCGTAGCTGGCAAGCCCCAGAAGGGCACACCCGAGCACCAGGCCTGCCAACCGGACAGCTGTGGTGTCTGAACCAGCCTTGGAATCGCTGACGATCAGGCCGAAGAGCCACAGCGCTGTGCCCGCCTTCAGCATCCAGAACACCCTCCTCACCACGCCCACCAATAGGCGCAGGACAATGGACAGCACCCAGTAGCCAATCAGAGCCAGCAGAGCCCACTGACCTACTGAGGCCACGCCCTCTGGGGTAAAGTGAGGGAACGGCAGCTGGACTGGAGAGAGAGATGGAGGAAGAGAGTTTTGAGAGCGTGTTTAAATATTGCCGGGGGTAATTCAATTATTTTGTTGTCACTACCTTTATTCTAGAACTTGAGTCAGTGCAAATATCTCAAGTCACAAGGCGTGAGTGAATTTGAAGAGCAATCTCTTTGAAAACCAATAGCCTGTGTGCTGTTTAGATCCTATTACAGAGATCAAATCACAAACACAAAAGGAGGAACTCACACCCACACTTCCCAGTTTCCATATTACAAAGAGGGAGAGGCAGTTGTTCTCATTCCAACTTCTCTTAGGATGAAACAATAGATTTTCACTGGCACACAACTACTACGCAACTGCAGCTACAGGTTTGACGGACTAAAAGTGGGTGTTTTCTGCATGCCAGTGGTGTGGTAGATTTGAGCTCTCTAAACCCAAAGTAGATGTGATGCAGAAAGGATGAACCTACACACAAACTCGGTCACCCACCATCAACTCCTGTGACCCTGAGGATCTCTATGACGTAAACCGCGATGACATTCAGGCCGCTGGCAGCTCCCTCAGCCAGAAACCGGATCAACATCTCAAAGAACTAAGAGGGCGGGGGAGAGAAAGGGTGAGAAGAATGTTGACATGGCTTACAGTACAGCTTACATATTTGTACTATAAGGGGAGAATTAAAACTGTTGCTCTGGTTAAAAAATATTCGAGTCCTATTCTAGAGTAGAGGGACATACATTCACTTTAAAGTGGCCAACGAAGTCAGCCCATTTCCCCCCGCCTGTAGCTTACCTTATGTCCAGTAACATTCATTTCTTACCATGATCCTGTAGTGATAGTGCAGCACAACTGACAGTGACAAGTAATACCATTAAATTAGAATGACCACAGCTGTTGCTACAAGGTCAGCTATCAATCAGTATAAATAGGTGGCGTCTGCAGATATGGGTCACTGATTCAATCTTCCCACTCAACGCTGACCTAGATCTTTTTATGAGTGGTAGGTATGTTCAATTCCTACAATACAGATTGCCTTTGATCATACCGTTAGTTTAAACACAATGGCCAGTCGGTCACCATACAAGTGCAATCCATTTGTATTGAGCTAAATGATTGAGTCCCTATGCGCAAATGCACAAGTGTCTTTCCCAGCTGGCATAATGGGGGTATTGTTGATGATGTAACACTTGTGTGTGGTGTGTGAGATCGAAGCTGTCCTTTTAAAAAAAAAAGACTTGACAGCCGGACTGACAACTTCCCCCATTCTGGAGTAGCCCCTCATAAACCTCTCCAACCCCCCCCCCCCCATCCCCCCCATCCCCAGACTGCTTAGCTGAGGTCAAGGGTAACCATAGTAGGACAGCCAGACTCCTCTGCACCTGTTGCTACCCTACACAAGAAGCACTGTTCACTGTGTCAGAGCAGGCCAGAGACAACTGTCCATCTCTGTCAGCTTGTAATGTGTCCGCATGTAACTTTTAAAAAGGCACTCTAAAAATCTAAATCATGGGCAATCATTGTGGCTATGAATGTAGACTATATACAGTTACACAAACACATAAAACCATAACCACAACTGCCATAAAATGTAAGAATGATGTAGTAATTTGCCTATCTGTATAACACACATGCTGTATGAAGTGACTGACATGTGCCCTGCAAACAGAGCTATAAGGAGCTTTGTTCTGGACCTATTGTCAGAGCAGAGGTTAGTTAGATGAGGAACCTGGTGGTTTCTTACCATGGCCATGGTATAGACGTTCTCTTGCCCAAGTACTGACTCTAGATACAACAGCACACTCTGGGGTAGGGGTGCACAGAGTAGTGGCAGCAGGGGAGAGGGTGCATGGATATAAGCAGACATGAAATTAGGGCAGAGTAGAGGGGGGATCAGAGGAGAGATTATCATGTAGTGAGTGGGCCAAGGGGAGAGAGAGGGAAGGGGTCGGGGAAGAAAATGGGAGTTGTTGGGGGGGGGGGGGGGGGGGGGGGGGGGGGAGTGGAGGAGGTGATGAAGAAAGATTTGAGAAAGACAATTTTAGTTGACAGATAAAACCACAATCAAGGAATGCTTTTAAAAGGGAGCAAAGGTCACCCTTAGAAAGAAGATAGTTAGAAATATAAATGAAGTATAGTTAATTGATGAATGAATAGAATAACACAGGAAACAGGGGTGTAACCGTTAGTCCAAACGAGAGTTTTTATTCGACAAATTCAAGTAGGTCCCTCCCCGTTTCGTACTGTTTGCTTCCGTTTAAGAAATGTTTGCCAACAGAATCGGCGTAATGAATACGCCCCAGGATTGATTAAGTGCTGGTTAGATTTACTCAGTCTACATTTGATGGCTTCTTTTCCAATCCTCCTTACCTCAACAGTCGTTTCGATTACATTGGTTCCCACCACGGACTCCACGTATTTGTGGACATCTTTACAGGTCCCCGTGACCAGGGACCGGAGACTGACTGATGCTGGGGCCGCTTGAGGGCTCTCCTCCGAAGGCATGGCCTGCACTACGCATCGCGCTGCCAAGCCGAGCATTAAAACAAGCGTGGATAATAAAACTGGTACTGAGGATGAATTTGCACGGTTGTAGGAAGTCATGTTGGAAAATCAAAACGTAGGCTCCTTCACGTGATAAATAGAATAGGCAATTCTATAAAGACGTTTTCTTGAGGATCAGCGCCTTGATCTGTAGTCTCCAGATAAATGTATGTGGAAACGCTTCAAAAGGCGTAGTAAAAATCAGGTTTAAAAATGGCTTCTGTTGACAGTCAGTCATTCAAACAAAGCGACCGAGCTGTAGGGGTAATATAATCTGGAAACACTAGCCTTGCAAACTTCTTGAGAAAACAGAATTAGCTGGGGCCATACGCTAGTAGGCTACTCGTTGGTTGTATGATCAAACATACAATTTGGCACGTGCAGGTTATTCAATCACTGAATATCAGCTCAGCGTTTTTTTTTTATTATAAACTTTGGCAATGTTACCACAAACCAGGGCACCGTTCAAGGACATTTAATAACACAATTACTATATTTGGTATTGAACTGGTTAAGAATAGAACGACGTTAATTTCTGAAAATGTATCCTTTCCCTGCGGTGGATACAGTATCTTTTAAGGTTATCCGTTGCATTTACTTGCAACAATGTGTCAAGTTTCCTTTTAGGTTGGCGCTAAAAAGCTAAATTTTGGCAGGCGCGGGTCCTCAAAGTTGTTCGTTTTTGGCTTCAGTATTCCACACGGATATATTCCTTTGTTCAAGGGTTTGCGTCAAGTTCAACGCCACGATGGATTGTCTTGCATAAAAGCTTGTTTTTGTCGCTGCTGCCCTGTTGGCGCTCCTTTCCCTCAAGCGATGCTAACTTCTGGTTTAGTACAACCCGACAGCTCTTCCTTCAAACCGGTCTGGGGGACTAGAGGGGGTGGTGGCCGTTTTGGTGCCTTCAGGAAGTATTCATACCCCTAGACTTTTTCCACATTTTGTTGTTACAGCCTGAATTTAAAGTGGATTACATACAATACCCCATAATGTCAAAGTGGAATTACGTTTTTCGAAATGTTTACAAATTAATAAAAAAAATAAAGCTTAAATGTCTTGAGTCAATAAGTATTCAACCTCTTTGATATGGCAAGCCTATGACTCTGTTCAGCAGTAAAAATGTGGTTACAAATCACTTAAGTTGCATGGAATCTTTTTGTGTTAAGTGGTTAACGTGATTTTTGAATGACTACCCCATCTCTATACCCCACACATACAATTATCTGTAAGGTCCCTCAATCGATCAAATCAATTGTATTTGTTAAAGAAGAATACAACAGGTGTAGACCTGACAGTGAAATGCTTAATTACAAGCCCTTAACCAACAATGCAGGTAAGAAAAATCAGTGTTAAGAAAGTATTTACTAAAATAAACTGAAGGAAAAAATAGATAAGGAAAAAATAAATAAAATAACTAAAGTGCAACAATAAAATAACAGTAGTGAGGCTATATACATGGGGTACCAGTACAGAGTCAATGTGCAGGGGCACACGTTAGCCGAGGTAATTGAGGTAATAGTGACTATGCATAGATAAACAGAGTAGCAGCAGCGTAAAAGGTGTGGTAGGGGGGACAATGCAAATAGTCCAGGTAGCCATTTGATAAGCTGTTCAGGAGTCTTATGGCTTGGGGGTAGAAGCTGTTATGAAGCCTTTTGGTCCTAGACTTGGCGCTCCGGTACCGCTTGCTGTGTGGTAGCATTTTGAACAGTCTGACTAGGGTGGCTGGAGTCTTTGGCAATTTTTAGGGCCTTCCTCTGACACTGCCTGGTATAGAGGTCCTGGATGGCAGGAAGATTGGCCCCAGTGATGTACTGGGCCGTACGCACTACCCTCTGTAGTGCCTTGCGGTCGGAGGCCCGAGCAGTTGCCATACCAGGCGGTGATGCAACCAGTCAGGATGCTCTCGATGGTGCGGCTGTAGAACCTTTAGAGGATCTGAGGACCCATGCCAAATCTTTTCAGTCTCCTGAGGGGGAATAGGCTTTGTTGTGCCCTCTTCACGACCGTCTTGGTGTGTTTGGACCATGATCATTTGTTGATGTGGACACCAAGGAACTTGAAGCTCTCAACCTGCTCCACTACAGCCCCGTCGATAAGAATGGGGGCGTGCTCGGTCCTCCTTTTCCTGTAGTCCACAATCATCTCCTTTGTCTTGATTATGTTGAGGGAGAGGTTGTTATCCTAGCACCACACGGCCAGGTCTCTGACCTCCTCCCTATAGGCTGTCTCATCATTGTCGGTGATCAGGCCTACCACAGTTGTGTCGCCGGCAAACTTAATGATGGTGTTGGAGTCGTGCTTGGCCATGCAGTCATGGGTGAACAGGGAGTACAGGAGGGGACTGAGCACGCACCCCTGAGGGGCCCCACTGTTGAGGATCAACGTGGCAGATGTGTTGTTACCTACCCTTACCACCTGGGGGTGGCCCATCAGGAAGTCCAGGATCCAGTTGCAGAGGGAGGTGTTTAGTCCCAGGGTCCTTAGCTTAGTGATGAGCTTTGAGGGCACTATGGTGTTGAACGCTGAGCTGTAGTCAATGAATAGCATTCTCACGTAGGTGTTCCTTTTGTCCAGGTGGGAAAGTGCAGTGTGGAGTGCAATATAGATTGCATAATCTGTGGATCTGTTTGGGCAGTATGCAAATTCTCTGTTTCTAGTAGTGAATTTCAAGCGCAGATTCAACCACAAAGACCAGGGAGGGTTTTCAATGCCTCGCAAAGGGAACCGATTGGTAGAAGTGTACAAATAACAAAGCAGACGCTGAATATCCCTTTAAGCATGGTGAAGTTATTAATTAGGCTTAGGATGGTGTATCAATACACCCAGTCACTACAAAGATACAGGCGTCCTTCATAACTCAGTTGCTGGAGAGGAAGGAAACTGCTCAGGGATTTCACTATGAGGCTAATCTCTCATGGACAGAGTCGCATGTAAATGGCGAGTGAAGTGACAACTTTGCAAGAATTTTACTTCTGGGTAACCGAAATTACCATGTGGCCAATGATGATTTTAAAACAGTTTAATGGTTGTGATATGAGAAAACTGAGGATGGATCAACAGCATTTTAGTTACTCCACAATACTAACCTAAATGACAGAGTGAAAAGAAGGAATCCTGTACAGAATAAAAATATTCCAAAACATGCATCCTGTTTGCAACAACACACTTAAGTAATACTACAAAAACTGTGGCCAAGAAATTCACTTTTTGTCCTGAATACAAAGCACATCACTGAGTACCACTTCATATTTTCAAGCATGGTGGTGGCTGCATCATGTTATGGGTACGCTTGTCATCAGCAAGGACTGGCAAAATCCTAGAAGAAAACCTGGTTCAGTCTTCTTTCCAACAGACACTGGGAGACGAATTCACCTTTCAGCAGGACAATAACATACAACAAGGCCAAATATACACTGGAGTTGCTTACCAAGACAACATTGAATGTTCCTGATTGGCCTAGTTACTGTTTTGACTTAAATTGGCTTGACTATCTATGGCAAGACTTGAAAATGGCTTTCTAGCAATGATCAACAACCAACTTGACAGAGCTAAAAATAAAATAAAAATGGTCAAATATTGTACAATCCAGGTGTGCAAATCTCTTAGAGACTCAGCTGTAATCGCTGCCAAAGGTGTTTAACGTATTGTCTTAGGGGGGTGAATACTTATCTAATCAAGATATATTCGTTTTATTTTTCATAAATCTTTCATAAAAGTTAGCATTTTGTGTAGATCGCTGAACAAACATTACAATTAAATCAATTTTAATCCCACTTTGTAACAACAAAATGTGGAAAAAGTGAAGGGGTGTGATTACTTTCTGAAGGCACTGTATAATAAGAACGGTTTGGAGAGTTGAGATTTGCACACTGGGATTTGTGGTCTCTTCAACGCTTGTTAAAGGTTAGAACAGAAAGATTATTTTGATGATAATGAATAGGCTATATAGCTTATAAAATGCTCAGACTAGACTGATAAAGAACTAATGGCAAGACAAGTATCTAGTTTTGATGGCAGTTTAATAACTTGCGGAGCAGCAATATTACACATTAGCATCAATTCAAGATATTGGTAGTCCCTGATGAGCCAGCTTTCAAATAAAAAAAGACATACAAATACAAGGAAAGCATCGACTGGTCACACAGAGTACAGGTGGGGCCTGCTGATCAAGAGACTCACCATTGATTTTCTAACCATCTAAGCAAATGGTTTGTCCGTTTTTCCCTCTCCCTCACACACATGCGTGTAAGCAGACATGCCCATGCACAGACACCACACCAGTCTAAAACCAGAGCCCGAGGGGCCCCCAGAAGGTTATCTGGTGTCTAGTTCCATGGGGCAGGAGCCGTAGGAGTACTGGGGTGAGAGAAGCTGAAAATATCAGTCATCATAAAAAGGTTATCAGGGTCTTCAGCATATCACTGCAGCCCTTCAGGACTAGAATTAAGTGAAAAGTCTGTAATTATCTAGTCCATCCAAAAAGAAGGGCGAGGGGATAGTAAAAAATAATGTACAAAAATGATCCAATAGCTACAGTCAACTATGGAAAAGCTTCAAGTCAAATCTCACTTTTCCCCCACACAAGGCCCTAGGTACTGTAACCCTAGTGTTGAGCCACAGGCACAGCGTCTCCTAAAGGCTTTCCTTCCAGCCAGACAGACAGGTAATGCACAGCCAGCAAATATAACCATGATCATGATCTCTATACAGCAATGTAATGTAGGCCCAGTCCAGAAACAAGCCTTAGCGCACCCCACCCCCAGCAACATGGCGGAAATGCCACCTAGCCAATCAGAGCGCAAGGTGGATCTATTTCCATACTGATTACATGCCCATCCGATATTCTCAGATTTCCACACGTGTCTAGTCTCATTCCATCTCACACGCTAGTGGAGGGGGTGATGGAAGACAGTTTTGTTTGGCTGGAGAGAAAGCCTGTGTGGATACTGCTGACCTCCAGGCACTAATATCAAACCCCCTACGCTCCCTGCCGTCAGGTCACCCCCTTCTCCCTCTCTATCCGATGTAGATGCGGTGGAAGTCGTTGGCGCCGAAGGCGGCGTTGCACTTGGGGCACTTCCTCTGGCGCGTGTCGTAGCGCGTCTTGACGCACTCGAAGCAGAAGACGTGGAAACACTTGGTCAGGACGGCGTCCTTTACCCGGGAGTTGCAGCACGGGCAGGTCAGACGCGCCTGGGGGAGGGAGAAAGAGAGGGTTAAAGAGAGAGAGGGGGAAAGAGAGAGAAATGGAGGGTTAAAGAGAGAGAGGGGGAAAGAGAGAAAAATGGAGGCCAGAAAGATGGAGAGAGAGATGAGAGAGATTGATAGAACAGGTTAGTTAAGGCTGAAATACACTACATGGTTTTTGCTGGGTCTACGGGCCCTACACATCAGAAAACATCTCACATTTAACGATTCAGTCAAGCCAAATCCTAGTTAACTAGTAATCTGCCAAGGCGCCGCCGCGGCAGTACGATTGGACAATCGGGCCAGAATTGGCTGTATTTGCTGGGCAGGTTTATGCATGTGTAATAAGGAAAACATCATTGCAACTGAGGAAAATGCTGCGTTCCTTTATGTGCATTGTTATCAGGGTTCTAGTGCAGCCGGTGCGCGACGCTCCGCCACTTCTCAGAATGGTGCTCGTTTAAATGTTAGATTTTTTGTTCAATATCAATAGGTCTCGCAAGATCTCTTAATGATTCATTAGTATGCTAGGCTCTAATGTTAGACCAAAAACACCACGTAATTAGGCTACTTTCGACATAATATTATTATGATTGTGATGAATGGCAAAAAAAAATAAAGATCATGCCACCAGAACTCAACAGCGGGCGCCACTAGGCTTAATATGCTTTGATTGTGGAAGTGTAGCTTTTTCACTCCCTTTGCTCTAAAGTTGGATTAAACAGTAGTTAGGTTACTTAGCCTACATCATTGAAACTGATTGGGATCTGCTGGTTGGCATGCAGATGCAGCATGGACGTTTCACCCATAAAACGTGAAGAGGACAATATGGATTGTCGATTTTGCAAAAAGAGCTTGAGGTAAGAACAGGTTTAAATGCAACTTGTAAAATACCCCCAGCAGACCAGCTAAGTGGGGTAGGTGAAGAGCACCTTTATAATTCTAAGTAGCTGATTGGCTGACGTTGGGACCTGCCTCTCATCTGCTTTGAGCACTGCTCGCACTTGGCTATAATGGCAGATGAGGCCGAATATATTCGACATGTTTGAAAATTATCGGGACGCCGTAAGTGCCCGGGAGCCCGTGACAGGGATCAACCGCAAATCTGGTATGCGCTTCACTTTACAGGCTGCAGCATTACGTTTTACTCCGGTTTTACTCCAGGCTTGCTCCGAATTCCTCCGATTTGCAAAAAGGTGCGGAGAGCTGATCGGGATGCGTAGATCAGGCTAAAACCGTGTAGTGTTTGCCCAGCTTTACCTTTATAGTGGCATTTTTACAGACCCATATTAAGCATACAGTACACCTGGTGTAAAAAGCATGTTCATCCAGACTACCTTGTAATCGTTGATTTCCTCATTGAGGATGTCGTCTCCGTTGCGGACGGTCTCGGCAGGTTTCTTGGCCTTCTCAATCTTCCTCCGCAGTTTGGAGATGTCCTCCTAAAACACAGCATGGGAAGGAAGAAAAGAGTTCAGCCGGGTGCTCCAATCAGTAAATAAACTAAAGTTCATTCTGTTCAAGTGGATTTGAATCGTCTGTGTGTGTGTGTATGTGTTTACACGTGCACATGGACAGTTAACAAAATGTGGCGCGTGTGTGCATGTGTTTGTGGCCTGACCTGTGCGCGGCGTGCATTGAAGGACTGCTTCTCTTTGGAGATGCTGTTCTCTATGACCTCCTCCCTGACGGTACCCAGTCTCTGCTGCACCTGGTCCAGCTGACTACACACCTCGTCCGACAGCACCGCTGACTCCTGGGTCTAGAGAGGGGGAGGAGGGACCAGGAGGGGGTGCAGAAAGCAGGTACTTTGCATGTTGGCATTTTTTAAGGAAGTTGGTGTTCTTTGTGTTAGTACTTATCTATACTTGTTGTGTGTATGTGTGTGTGTCCATGGTGTGTGTGTGCGTGCATAAGTGTCATTTTCCACAGGTGTGTTTTTGCAACCTTGCGTTTGTTCATGTCCAGTGCTTGTGTCCTCAGAGCCAGCTCTCTCTCTGCAGTACCGATGGTGCCCTGGAGGAGGCGCTCCTTCTCCTCCAGCTTCCTCACCACCTGCAGCTGGGCATCCACCTGAGAAAGACAGAGAGAGAGATGGAGAGAGAGAGAGTGATAGAGAAATAATGAGAGATGGCCAGACATAGGCTCCATTATTTGCTACTGTCAAGTTACTGTCTTTCCCTGACCCAAAAGTCACCCTGAACTGTGCATCTACCATTTAGATGTTCAAATCACTTTATTGCACTGTTTCAATCACCTGCTCTCACCTGCGTTTTGAGCGTGAGCAGCTGGTCGGCAAGCTCCTCCTTCTCTTCCTTGAGCAGCTTGTGGATCTGGTTGGACTTGATGCGTTCCGACATCAGTTTGAAGTTGGCGTCGTCCTTCTCCCTGAGCTGCTGCATCAGCCGGATGTTCTGCTCCTGCATGTCCTCAAAGGCCTGGCCCGTCACGTCCATCTCACTCAGCAACGCATCCTCCTCCTGGGGAGAAGGGGGAGAGACAGGGGGGAGGGAGATAGTGGCGTGGTGAAGACGAAAGGAGTGAGAGGGAGGGGTGGGAGAGAGAGTGGAGGAAGAGCGAGGGGAGGGTAGCAGAGGGGTGGAAGGGAAGGAGGGAGGGAGGGGTGGTAAAGAGGGAGTGGTAGACAGAGACAGAAAAGTGGGTTAAAGAATGGATCGATGGAAGAGCAAAGTGGGATGAAATGTTGGTGTGAGAAATTAGTCTAAAGTATGATGCTCAAATGCACACACACACCTGCTTGGCCAGGGAGAGCTTCTTGTTGAGGATGTTGATTTGTTCCTCGACAGAGCGGATCTTCCTCAGTGCCTCCTCATCGGCCATCTTCTTCCCCTCCCTCCTCTCCCTCTCCTCCAGATCCCTTAGACGCTGCTTCAGCTCCTCCGCCTGACAGTGAATACACAGCTGTTATCACAATCAATAAATCACTTCCCTATGAGTAAAATATGTTGGAAATATGTATTTTTGGTTGAGAATATGTATTTCTGGTTGAAAATACGCATTTCTGGTTGAAAAGACGATAAAAATATGGCTTTCCAACATCTTGTGCTCACTGGGTTATTATCACCCAATAGTAACTCAATATACAGAGAGCACACAGCGGTTATATCACTGTTATACCATCAATCAATTACTACCACGTTTCACTTTTTTTCTAAGTAGCGTCAGCTAAGTGTGTACTTCTGACTTGGCCTTCTTCTCAGCGGCCATGAGCTGGACTTTGTCCCTCTGCTCTTTGGGTGCAGAGCGGTACATATCCAACAGTAGCTTCATCTCCCTCTGAGACTCCTGGGCTTTCCTACAGGGACAGAGCCTTCGTCAGCAACATTATCATTATCCTCATTATCATTATCATCACCCCAATCATCAATCATGACTGTCATCATAATCAAACTTACTTCAGCTCCGCCCCGACAATTTTCAGTTGCTCCACCTCCTTCCTCTTTGGTCCTCCAATCACAGAAGGGCGCTCCGGAGCAACCTCCTCCGATTGGTTGCTGGTCCCAGCCTTCTCCTTCTCCTCGGTCCCACCCCTTCCACGTGTTGGCCTCTCTCCCTCCCTCTCTCGTTCCTTTTCCTTCTCTTTCTCCTCTTTGATTCCTCCCTCTGTCTCTGTCCCAGGCTCTGTCTTCACTGAGGTACCTACAGAGAGGATGAATATCAGTTAATAAAGAGTTAATAAATAGTTAATAAATGGCTAATTAACACTTAATAACACTTACTAGTGCTGGTGGGTGTGGCTGAACCGTTGTCAGACTCCACCTTGATGGTGACATCAGCAGAGGCAGCGGGCGTCAGGGGGGAGGTGGTCTCTACCTTCACGTCCAGCTCCGTACTGGATTGTGATTGGAGGATAGCACTGCCCTTCTTAGTACGAGCCTACGAGAGGAGGGAATTGCACAGATGAATATTGCAGATAGAGAATCTCTCTCTTTATGGGCTTCTCTCCCTTACAGTCTCTCTTCTTCCCTCCCTTCATGCCTCTTACACACTCGCTCTCTCCATCTCCCTCTTGCCCTCCCTCTGTCTCCCTTACCTGGCTGAGGTTAGTCTGTGCCTCTCTCAGTCTCAGTTTGTATTTCACCACCTCTCCCTTCATATGCTGGTTGTGTGTCTGCAGGGTGCTGATCAGGTGACGCATCTCCCTGTTGATAGGACCTGAGAGAGGGATAGAGAGAGAGAAAAGAGGAAGAAAATAGATGAGGTTTTCAAGGAGTATCTGAAACTGTGCCTAAACACTAGCCGGTGAGCGTGAGGCCAGATGTATTTTCATTTGAGGTGAAGACGCGGACCTGCTTGTTCATTGGCAGCGAGGGTCTGTTCAAATTCGATCCGGAGCATCTCGTACTCCTTCCTGACCTGGGCCAGAGTGTCCTCTAGCTGGAACACCTCGGTACGCACCTTCCTCTGGAGAGACACCTCGTCATTCTGGAACACAGACAAGAGGCGGTTACACACCCTCGTTGTTGTTGAATAAAGATGCTAAACTCACACACATCATTCTCCATTAAAGACGCTTAAGTCAGACACACGCGCTCACAGGCACACACGCATGCACACAAACACACCTCCATGTGTTCTAGCTGTCGGAGGCGTGCCGTCCTGGTGGTGTTGAGGCGCGTGCGCGTCTCGTCCAGCTGAGACTTGAGGCCCACAGACTCGTTGTAGAGGACAGAGAACTGGGACTGGAGACAGCGGTACTCTGAGCTCTCCCTCACCACCCCCTCAGCACGACTCAACAACTCCACCTGACAGAGAGAGGCAGAGAAGGAGAGAGAGAGGGGGACGAGAAAAATGAAATGGAGTGAGAGAGAGGTGAAGAGATACAGAAAGCATGAGAGAGGGAGAGAAGTGAGAGACAGATCAAAGAGAGGAGAGAAGTGAGAGAGAGAGAGAGAGAGATCAAAAATAGGGAGAGAAGTGAGAGAGACAGATCAAAGAGGGAGAGAAGTGAGAGAGAGACAGATCAAAGAGGGAGAGAAGTGAGAGAGAGACAGATCAAAGAGAGGGAGAGAAGTGAGAGAGATCAAAAATAGGGAGAGAAGTGAGAGAGAGAGAGAGATCAAAGAGAGGGAGAAGTGAGAGAGAGAGAGATCAAAAAGAGGGAGAGAAGTGAGAGAGACAGATCAAAGAGGGAGAGAAGTGAGAGAGAGAGAGATCAAAAAGAGGGAGAGAAGTGAGAGAGACAGATCAAAGAGAGGGAGTGAAGTGAGAGAGAGGAGATACAGATTGGTGGTGAGCAAAGCAACAGGGAAAGCAGCTAAAACCTCCACCTATTTATTTACCTTCATTTGACTGGTTTGGTTGGCTGAGTAAGGACGTGGGACCTCAGGTAATCCAATGGCTGGGTTGGGGGAGAGAGCCATAGGATTCTGGTGGCCCAGGCCCTGGGTCAGGCTCTGTAGGCTCACCTTCATGTTGCTGTTCTCCTGGTTGACCGTCTGCAGGTCCAGCTGCAGCCGCTGCAGCTCGCTCAGACGGTTCTCCGCCAGCTCCCTGTTCTCCTCCAACTCACTGTTCATCTCCTCAAACTGACAGGGAGAGAGGAGAAGAGAGGGGGGAGGCAGAAAAAGAGGAGGGCAAGGGGAAAGGAGAGGAAGAGCGTAGGAGAATTAAAGAGTTATAACTCCAGGTCCATGCAGTTTCTGACAAGTACAATGCCAGAACAAAGAGGATGTTTTTGTACCTTTCTCTTGTTGATGGTAATGGTTCCACACACACTGCTGGCCTCCCCACACACCTTGTAGCCTTTACTGTTCACCTGGGAGGAATAACACAGTGGCCATGGAATAAACACTTTTACATTCACATGGATATAGTTCTGTGGTATATGAACCACAATGACACAGAAATACTTCATTTCAAAATGGTAAGCATAGGCCACAGTAGCTGTCAAACACACATTGCTGCAAAGAGAGAGAGGGACTCAGTCTCACGTGGATTCACAAAAACATACAGCCGCAGTCTTACCCTCTCCAGGATTTCTCCCAGGTGTGTGTTGAGGCGGTTCTCTCTGCGTCGGATCTTCTCCATGTCCCACTGGAGCTCCTCGATGAGGCCCTGCAGCTCATTGACCCGCGTGTCTGCCCTCGCCACTGCCCAGCCCAGAGAACGAGACTACAGATGAACAGGGAAACAGAATCACTGTTAATATGATCGCTGGGGTGATCCATTAGTAATGTACATAGTGTAGCGGGAGATAAATAAAACAGACTCAGTACTAGACGTGTTATGATGCAAGATATCAAATCACCTCGCTAGTCATGTGACTGTGCTTCTGCTGAAGGTCCTCAGTCAGATGACGCAGCCGGTCGTTCTCATTGGACAGGAGGGTGTTGAGCTGGGCGGCGACCTGCCACACGGAGCCCTCTGGAAATACAAGACATGATGTCATGACATTACTACTCTTGACTCACACAACAAGGTACAACCTCAAGGAACTAACTCAATGCCAATACCACCTTCTGCTCCAAAACGGCAAAAAACACTTACACCCTTGCTGCTCTCACCATCCCGAAAACCCTACCCTCCACACCTATCCACAACCCTCACTGCTTACACTCCTTCACGTCTCATTCCCTCACTCCTCTCACCTCCCTCCCTTTCCCCCCAACCCCTCTCTCTCCCCCGCCACCTGCTCCAGAGTCCTGGTCCTTCTTTAGCTGCTCCACGGTGGTCTTCAGGCTGTCGTAGATCACCACCACGCGGTTGGCCTGCTTCTGGCTGGACTCCACCCTCTCCTGCAGCTCTGCCTCCATCTCCTCGCTGCTGCTGCTGGCCAGTGTGGCCAGGAAGGATGTGGTCGGCTCCCCCTGGTGGCCTGGAGGACAACCACAAGGTGAAGAAAGGAGTTAATCCTACTCTGAACTTGAGGGTCTCCGCGGGACTGATTTCTTCATCCCGCTCCCGCCTGCTCCCACTGCTTTTCATACCGCACCCGACTGCTCCCGCTGACTTGTTGTCCAGCTCCCACCTGCTCCCGCAAGAACTGGTGCCAAACCCGACCGCAGTCCCACAATGTTGTTTTAGGTGTATGTGATGCAGCTCGCTTTGCAGCCCCAACAAGATCCCCCCAAAATGTAAATAATATAGCCTAAGAAATCGGTTTAAATATCAGCGATTCTCACGTGGCACATTATATTAGACTATGGGTATTATTGGGCTATATCAGCCAATAGGCTAGACGTAGTTTGAAAGAGCAGAGTTCGGGCGAAATAGAACAGCAAAGCGGACACTTCCACTTGACTTGAGATATAATGTTTTGCATTACTTTTAGGGTCGGGATGATTTGCAGGCAGAGTCAAATAAATGTGTTATTCATATTTATTTCTAGTCAATGTCGGAGCCTAATCTATGGCAGGGCTCCAGACTGTGACCATTTAGTCGCATTTTGCGTCCCTTTAACTTGGCTGTGCGAGTTAAATGTTTGATTGGTCGCACTGGTGCGAGCTGCACATTGTACCTGGTCACCTCAATCAAAACATCCTATAAAACCATGAATTTGTTAAACAGTAAAGTGCATTATCCTCATGACTCCTGTGCCTACCTGTTTCGCTGGGGCCGGCTGCTGTAATGAGCGAGCCTCTCACACTCTCTCGCCTCCCTAGTGATTGTATATCATTTCAAAATGCAATTATTAAAAAGAGACGAGGGTCTCAGCTTTCTGTAGGTATAATTTTTATTTAGCTACGATTGTTATTGATGGGTTCTGACTTATAAACTAGAAATATCCTTAATCATGTCACAGAGGGAGAGAGAAGAATGCAGGACGTGTAAGTACTGGCAGAACATGTTATTGTTAATTATCAAGTATCCTATGGAAATGAGGAGTTCTATAGTCTGGTTTCGACACCAGAAGTTAATGGTTATCTGTAAGAGGAATGTATATGGTGGAGGTAATCACATGGTTGCAGTCACTGATAAGGGTGGATAGCTGTGGATCAGTGAGGAGTGAGGAATGAGGTCAGGTCACATTAAGGGAGAAGGAAAAGTTTATTGCCCGCATCACTTAACTTCCTGCCTAGCAATAAACATGTAATGTTTAGAGGGAAGGAGGATACTTCACCCAAATTGGGGTATATATACACTTGTGCTGGTGGAAACATGTCTTTGTGTGACCCAGTGGGTGAATAAACTTGGTTTGAGCTTTACTAGTCGTCCGTCGGTTTTTACCTTGTTATTTAGAACCTAACATTATTGAGCTCAAAGCACACTGTTTTACAATAAAGTTTTCTGATAACAAATATACAAAGCGCACAAAATTGTGCATGAATGAGTAGGTGTGTCCAAACTTTTGACTGGTACTGTATATATAAAAAATAGCCTTATTGTCAACCCAAATATGTTTTGCTGCTTGGACATGTTAGATGTCACAACTTCTTTATTGAATACCATCTCAGTAGTCTATTACACTTCTTAAAGGAATACTTCGGGATTTTGGCAACGAGGCCCTTTATCTACTTCCCCAGAGTCAAATGAATGATTAGCGCACTTGATCTCACATGCCCAACAAAAGAGAAGAGAGCTAGGCTACTGAACACGAAGGAGCAGGAATGAGCCTATGTGAATAGTGCGACAAAGAGGTGCTTTTAAATAGCAGGGATGCAAACTGGTGAGGGCGCAAACGCGTAAATTACAAGAAAATGTGCTTATTTTCCGAGTGGGATTGTCACGATACCTACATTTTACTAATGATGTGATACCAGGTCAAGTATCACTATACCATTCTGCACGTCTGCTACACAAAAACCTGTCCCTGATATTCACACCTCTACTCAATACAAACCATTGAATTTTACTTCACACTGCTTACTGTATAATAGAATAGGCTACTGCAGAAAATGCCTGATTTGTTCATATCCAAAGGCCTACCTGTGATTTAGCAGGAGGAATGTAGTAAGGAATAGAAAATGCATAATGACCTGCATTTTCCTTGTGGCAGTAAGGGGGTTAAACACACTATGAAACCATCTTTAGCCTACTCTTCAGACAACCTTACACACATAGACCTCCACTTCCTCCCTCCCTACATCCCTCAAACACCACACACACACCCACCCTCTTGCTCGCTCACTCATTTTCGCTCTCTCTCTCACACACACATACAGACAGGCACACCACCCACACTCTTTCTCTCTCCCACTCTCAGACAAAAGTTATGCACCAAACAGAATTTAAAGAAACACAAGAGAAAGAGATTTATAATTTAGATGTACAGCGCCCTCCGTAATTTTTGTGTCAGTGACAAATTGGGGACAGTGACATGGTTTCTGGAATTATATAAAATGTGCGCCAACGCTGGTAGAAAAGGGAGAAGGTATAACTTTTGAGTGGTTTGGCCTAGAGACATCCGGTTTTCAGAAATGTAAAGGCGCAAGCACGACTGGCACTGTGCTCCGTGTAGTGGCACTCAGAGGCTGCGTGATAGTGAAGCCTAGTCGGACTGGCCTTTGCTCTTGTTCTTACAGGTGAAATTAAAAGATACAATGTATCCACTTCGCTCGCGCCGCGAGACGCTCCAATAACTAAACAAATGTAACAACATAAGCCTCATCACTGTCTGCACACCCCAGATGGACATCACAGCTAAATTACATTTGAAAACTGATGGAGATGTGCAGAAAGTCGTGACGGAGAGAAGCAGCTGAGTAGGCTAATGTAGGGCTAATGCTAATGACTGGTTAGGGATGTGGCTGGCTGATATCAGCTGTCACACGTGATATTGGATAAAGCACTCATTCTGGTATTCACATTGTAGGACAAGTAGGGAGGCATTCTGTCCTCGGTCAATAATTTCGATATGAGAAATATACCCCCCCACCAAAACGTTTTCCATCCCTGTAATAGGCATACAATAGATAACAGTGCTCTACTCTGAACCAAAAAGGCTTTATTTCATCAATCTCCATACATTGTACTCTTCTGCTCTACATCTTGTGTCAGGCACCCTGTCACAAACTCTTCAGAGTACCCTCTTCATCGGTCTCTTGCTCCTGACCCAACTCCTGTCCTCTTAGTGTTCTCCTCTCTCCATCCTTCCCTCCTTCCTTTCTACATATCTTTCTCTCTCCCACTGTACCTCTGTCTTTGACTCTCTCCTGGTTGGAGTCGCCGTCAGGTTCTGGGGTGTCAGGCTTCAGGCTCCGCCCCTCTCCAGCCGGGGTTTCCACAGACTCGCTTCCTGACTCATCGTAGCGCCTTCCAATCAGGCACACATTGTCATCAAACTAAGAGAAGGGGAGAAAGGGTGAAGTAGATGTTATTCAGAATACAGATAATAGTTGTATTTGCAAATGTTGATCTATGTGCAATGTTTTAATTGCATATTGTTCATTATTTGAATGAATAGTTACCTGATTCCAGTATCTGTTCAGGATCAGTAGGCTGGTGTCATCAGTTGCTTGACGAGTCTCCAGTCTCTCGATCCTCTCTCTCAGCTCATCCTCAATCACCTGCAAAGCATCGATCCTATTGTTGAGTATTATCGATGTATGGAATGAAAACAGGGGTTGTGTGTGTATGTGTGAGAGATGAGTGAGAGAGAGAGACCGAGTGAGTGAGACCGACTATATATACCTGTCTCTGATCGAGCGATTCTCCCAACTTCCTGTTCTTCACCTGGAGAGCTTTGACATCCTGTTCCTCCTGAGCACAAGAGAAAGATATCAATGAAATGATGGAAACAACACAATCAATGACATTGCTGACGAGTCATAACAACTATCAGATGTAAAGGCAGACAGACCTACAAACAGACACAGCAGGAGAAATGCAGGAGAAATACAGGCTAGGCACTTTTCAGCTCTCTCACCGAGTTGGAAACCCCTCCGAGTTTGATGACTGTTTCCACAGCAGTGGTCCCTCCTGCAGTAGAGCCGACCCCTGGACCCCCATCCTCTCCTCCCTCTTGCTCCCTCCGTTTCTCAGGGGACGCACTGGACGAGGAAGAGGGGACGCTGGAGTCACACAGACGCTTCTGTCCCGACATCCTCACACTGCTGCAGTAGATCAAGGGAGAGATTAAATATTTGCACATTAACATCCTCGGCGAAATTACGTTGCCACGAGCAGCACCGCAGATATTGCAACGAGTGAGATGCAAGACGTTCTAATACAGTCACGCACAGTATCTGCGCATGGGGGTTCGCTTCAAGTTGTTAGAGGGTGGTAGCAAAGACAGTACACTATGCAGATAGGCTAAAACGACTTCTCCAATTGAAATCCCCGACCACAGGCGATGTCATGGCGACATTGGCTAGGGTTAATACACATCATTGGCTTCAACGCGCTTAGTTGTTGCGGATATTGACCCGCTATGCTGTTTACTTTTTGCACCGACCTACCTTTAAGTATTCGTTTTGGAAATCCCACGTAGCTAGCTATAGTCCTTAGCCAATACCTAACTATATAATTTCAAAAGAACAGACATTTGTTTTAATTCATGCCAAAGCCATTTCGGCTATTTGGCCATGTTCAATTAACCCGTTTAGCTAGTTAATTGGCTAATTCACAAACACTTTGTAGATAGCAGTAACGTTTAGCTCATGTTAGCCAGCTAGCTACAGTAGCTAGGTAATTCAAATATACCACACGCTATAAACATTTTACTTTGGGGCCCTTTCAATCAATGCATTTGATCTGTTATTCCATGTAGATTCAGTGGTTTGATTTAAATTCCTTACAAATTTTCATAAAATTGTGTTATTTACTGATTCTGTCTGTGAACGTTGATGTTTCGGCTATCTTCCGGAAACGGAAGTAGCCACTGACGTTGAAAACCTAACCCCGATGTGTCTTTCTTTTTCACAACGCAGTTAAGCCAAAACCACGCCCCGTTATTCAGAGGGACGTTCTACTACGCTCCCATTGGCTAGCGTTTGTTGGCTCGCGACAGCTGTTGAGAGACAGTGACCTTCCAAGGTAAGGATGGAAAGTGTAATTTAACAATTAGCTGCCTACAGTAATGCAGGCCTATTATTAACATGTTTGGTAACATTTGCCCATGTATTTATTTTCAGAGTTTCAATGATCAGCTAAGTTAACCTAGGCTACTTAACGTTACTAGCTCGGTATTTAAAGTTGTTATATTATCATTAGTAGTCTATTATCAGGTAAAAGCATATGCTTACTATTCATAATTTCTCAAATATTTATTAGCTAATCATTTCTATAAAATGGTTTAAATTGCTCTGACTATAGTACACAACACATCAAGTTACATTGTTTTCCTATTTAGAGTTGGCAACCCCCTTGGTACAAATATAATATTTGTTCACTTGTGGAGAGACCTACCCAGAGACCACTCAAACGTTGAATTGAGCCTACGCCTAGGAGTGAATTCTGTTGAGGAGTTATAAGAGTGGCTTCTAAAGACTAGAGACACTGGAGTGACATGGAGGGTCAGCGTAACAAGACCCAGGAAAGGACATACAATTATTTTCAAGGTAATGATTGAAGTGGGTAAAATGATATTTCGTCGGTGGGATAGAGCAAATGTAAGGCATGCAGACATTCAGATAATAAATACAATACACCTTCTGTTTAGGCTGGTTACAGGTGCCAACATAAGATTTACAGTAGATCCCCCCCACTGCCGACAACAAGGGAACATCAAAAAACACTTGCTGTCCATCCAAAATGAGTATCACTCTGATATGCTGTGTCACCAGAAAGGGGAGGCTGAGCAGGTGTGTGAATGGTTTATTTACATATGCATGCCTGCCCAGTGTGGTTAATCGTTCTCTAACTTTGATTTAGCTGAAGACAATCAAATGTTTGTTCTAGGAGCAAGGACCCACATCTTCCTATGTATCCAGCCATGGTGCATGTGTCCAGACGCCAATGTCCACAACCACAATTTCTTTGTGGCTGATGCACTTAAACACTGGGATGTTGGGGCCGAAGCCACAGAGACATTGTCAAGGATATTTGAGATTGGGCACTCCCCTTCATCAGCTTTGGATGTGCTAAAAAGTGATCTGCATTATATATTTGCCTCTGCAAATAGAGCTCTCTGTCCAGACCTGAAGTTCTGTTACCGGTACGTATGCCTTATTCCCAGCACCAACATCATCTTCTCTCTTTCTTAAACATATTTAAGGTAATTCAGATTGACCTGTGTACACTATGACAGTGGTAACTGTTGTGTACCATATGTACAGTTGAAGTCGGAAGTTTACGTACACTTAGGTTGTCATTAAAACTTGTTTTTCAACCACTCCACAAATTTCTTGTTAACAAACTATAGTTTTGGCAAGTCGGTTAGGACATCTACTTTGTGCATGACACAAGTAATTTTTCCAACAATTGTTTACAAACAGATTATTTCACTTATAATTCACTGTATCACAATTCCAGTGGGTCAGAAGTTTACATACACTAAGTTGACTGTGCCTTTAAACAGCTTGGAAAATTCCAGAAAGTTATGTCATGGCTTTAGAAGCTTCTGATAGGCTAATTGACATCATTTCAGTCAATTGGAGGTGTACCTGTGGATGTATTTCAAGGCCTACCTTCAAACTCAGTGCCTCTTTGCTTGACATCATGGGAAAATCAAAAGAAATCAGCCAAGACCTCAGAAAAAAATTGTAGACCTCCACAAGTCTGGTTCATCCCTGGGAGCAATTTCCAAACGCCTGAAGGTACCACGTTCATCTGTACAAACAATAGTACGCAAGTATAAACACCATGGGACCACGCAGCCGTCATACCATTCCATTCCTTACTAGATTTGTGTGTATTGGGTATATGTTGTGAAATTGTTAGATATTACTTGTTAGATATTACTGCACTGTCGGAGCTAGAAGCACAAGTATTTCGCTACACGCGCAATAACATCTGCTAAACACGTGTATGTGACAAATAAACATTTGACGCGTTCTGTCTCCTAGAGATGAACGTACTTTGGTGCGAAAAGTGCAAATCAATCCCAGAACAACAGCAAAGGACCTTGTGAAGATGCTGGAGGAAACGGGTACAAATGTATCTATATCCAAAGTAAAACGTGTCCTATATCGACATAACTGTTTGGCCATAATGACCATCGTTATGTTTGGAGGAAAAAAGGAGTAGGCTTGCAAGTTTGAGTTATTCACTGCGTTAGCACACTCCGCCAACCCTGATGTTCTAGCAGTGTCTGAATCCTGGCTTAGGAAGGCCACCAAAAATTCAGAAATGTCCATCCCCAACTATAACATTTTCCTTCTAGATAGAACTGCCAAAGGGGGTGGAGTTGCAATCTACTGTAGAGATAGCCTGCAGAGCTCTATCATACTATCCAGGTCTGTGCCCAAACAGTTTGAGCTTCTACTTCTAAAAATCCACCTTTCCAGAAATAAGTCTCTCACTGTTGCCGCTTGCTACAGACCCCCCTCAGCCCCCAGCTGTGCCACTGGTCATCCCCAAAGCCAACACCTCCTTTGGCTGCCATTCCTTCCAGTTCTCTGCTGCCAATGACTGGAACGAATTGCAAAAATCTCTGAAGCTGGAGACTCTTATCTCCCTCACTAACTTTAAGCATCAGTTGTCAGAGCACCTTACCGATCACTGCACCTGTACACAGCCCATCTGAAATTAGCCCACCCAACTACCTCAAGCCGAAGAACACCATCCCAACTGTGAAGCACGGGGGTGGCAGCATCATGCTGTGGAGGTGCTTTGCTGCAGGAGGGACTGGTGCACTTCACAAAATAGATGGCATCATGAGGAAGGAAAATTACGTGGATATATTGAAGCAACATCTCAAGACATCAGTCAGGAAGTTAAAGCTTAGTCGCAAATGTGTCTTCCAAATGGACAATGACCCCAAGCATACTTCCAAAGTTGTGGCAAAATGGCTTAAGGACAACAAAGTCAAGGTATTGGAGTGGCCATCACACAGCCCTGACCTCAATCCTATAGAAAATGTGTGAGGAGAACTGAAAAAGCGTGTGCGAGCAAGGAGGCCTACAAACCTGACTCCGTTACACCAGCTCTGTCAGGAGGAATGGGCCAAAATTCACCCAACTTATTGTGGGAAGCTTGTGGAAGGCTACTCGAAACGTTTGACCCAAGTTAAACAATTTAAAGGCAATGCTACCAAATACTAATTGAGTGTATGTAAACTTCTGACCCACTGGGAATGTGATGAAAGAAATAAAAGCTGAAATAAATAATTCTCTCTACTATTATTCTGATATTTCACATTCTTAAAATAAGGTGGTGATCCTAACTGACCTAAGACATTTTACTAGGATTAAATGTCAGGAATTGTTCAACTGAGTTTAAATGTATTTGGCTAAGGTGTATGTAAACTTCTGACTTCAACTGTATATACTGTATTCTATACTATTCTACGGTATCTTAGTCACTTTAATAATGTTTACATATCTTTCATTACTCATCTCATATGTATATACTGTATTCTACTGTATCTTAGTCCATGCCGCTCTGACATCGCTCGTCCATATATGTATATATTCTTAATTCATTCCTTACTTTAGATTTGTGTGTATTGGGTATATGTTGTGAAATTGTTAGATATTACTTGTTAGATATTACTGCACTGTCGGAGCTAGAAGCACAAGCATTTCGCTACACCTGCAATAACATCTGCTAAACACGTGTATGAGACAAAAACAATTTGATTTGCTATGAGGCATATGTGAGTGAGACCAATGTAAGTGTTTTTGCTGTGGACTCACAGGGGATGATCCAGTGTGTAAAAAATGCTGCTCCCTAGAGAAATTATTAAAGCCATACAAGATACACACGTTTCAGATACATTGGTCTCACCCACATACATCTCATATATTGTCTGTGCTTAGGAAAGTGGCTATAAGTGTATTTTCATATCATATACAGTATAAGATTGCACATCTTGGGAGACTAGAGCAAAAAACCTGCTTCTGTAGAATATATTTTTAGAGACAAGGTTTATTTGACATTTTCACCATGTATTTGGCACACATTGTATCAGAAAGTCTTTAGGAAAGAGAACAGAGTGGGCCTTCCATGATGTCTGCACTAGAGAGGCAGATAGAGGAGTACAATCTTAAACGCAGCAGCACCTGTGCTAAGATAGCAACATCTTCAGGTGGAACTCCTCTCATGGACCATATGCTCCCCCCCTTATGAAGCGGGTCCATCAGCCCAAACACAGTGGGGAGCCATGTTTCATTGATTCATCCGGAAACATGGACAGAGAACTGCAGTGTTTTTACTATTGACGCACACGTGCAGGTGGTCTTTCTCTTGGGATCATCTTCGCCCAGTCAGAAGATGAGACTACAATTTTTGAGGGCTCCTGAAGGAGACATTGGCGGAGGATGCATTTGCTGGGAGAGGTCAGAGGTCAGGCAGGGCCTAGTCTTTTTCTATCTGACGACTGCAAGGCAGAGAGAGGAGCATTAGGCCTTCCCGGAGGCAACCCCCCCCTCTGTTTTTCACATGCTCCAAGCAGTCTGGAGGTGGCTATGGATCAAAGGAACATGGCATTGAGATGAAGGACATGCAGGCCCTCTTTAGCATTGTCAAGGACATGCTTTATGCTATATGGGATATGGACAAGGTGAAACAACTCCATCATCTGGCCGTTGTCAACCCAGTTGCAGTCAGGTCAGTGTAGAGTAAAGTTATGTCAGTGTTCAGTGTAGAATAACAAGAACAAGACCTTCATTGTCCTCACATGATGTAACAAAAGTGAACTCTTCAATACTGGTATTCACAGAACATAATTGTTTTACCCGCAAAAATGTTAACAGTGAGGCAATACATG